AAAATAAAGGCCTCATCTACAGTTATGATAAAAGTTAAATTAATTGAAAAGAATATCTACTTTGTGAGAATATATATTCTAAGTGATCTCAAGTTTAATGTTAACCATCTTATTTTTATGCATTAAGGGAAAAAGTCTGTAGATAAATGGAATATGCCTTTACATACATGTATAACACATCTAAAACATTTTCACCTACTATTTCTTTAACTTCTGTTGTAGTTTTGTTTTTTACATATAGATAATTAGCTTGTAATTTATTTTTGTATAGAAAGTATGGTAGGAATTTAAATTTATTTTTCCTAAATAATTAACCAATTATTGCAGCAACATTGGTTGAATAACCAATATTCCTTATCTTACTTATTTTAAATGCTAACTTTATTAAATTCAGAATTACTAAATATTCTAGTTTTTGCATTTTTAAATGGATTTTATTTTCAGCCTCAGTTTAGCTCATAAACTTTCATACGTCTAAATGGTTTTTGAAACTCATTTTTTCTAAGCAGTCTCTGAATAGCCTATCACTTTCTATTCTATACAGAAAATATTTAATGCAATACTAATTTTATAACAACAAGCAGTAAGTCTTATTTTCTTGCAAAACTTATTCCTTGTAAAATTCTAAATAGAAAGCCCAATCTCTTTCTGCTTAATGACAGATTTCTACTTGCCCTTAAAGCAGAGGATGACATAAAATGCAGCATAATGAAGTTCTTTCTGGGCAATAAAGTTCTTTCTGGGCAACTCCATGAGGTAGTAATTCGGAAATCAAGTGATTTAAGAATATATGAATATTTAAAAGAAAGACATATTTTAGTTATTTCTATAGCTTCACCACCACATTCCAACAGTAACCAACAGTGAACGAAGAACTTGGAAACAGGTATATGTATAATTTTTATATGCCTGAGAGAGAAGTATGAAAAACTGACATTGTCTTCAGATCTTGCTTCCTTTTTTTCTTCTACTATTAACCACCTCTAATATATACAAGTATACTTGCATATATTTACTCTGCTGACTGCATAAAACCAATAAGTAACTCACAAAATCTCCAGCTAGAGAAACTAGCTGGCTGCTGCAGTTTAGTAAAAATCCATGAGACAAAAATGTACATATAATAAAGTACTCTGTTTTCATTATTATTCATTTTATCTTCAATAGCCAGAAATACTTTCCAAGTTTTTTTTTTTTTTTTAAATGTGGGAGTATAATACTGTTTTAATCTAATAGTCCATAAAATAGGAAAATGAAGTTTGGCTATATAATAATTAGTAATGTATAAAAAGCACTGCACAGATTAGGTGATATTTTAATGACACACACATCACAAATGTTATTTATCAACTTTTACTGAACTGAGTGTAATGTATAAACAGTTCATTCTGTTTTATATTTGCAGTATGGCCACCTGATCTTCCTGAATTATTTACTTTATGAGCTGTTAGGCAGGAATATGGAAATGTATTAACATAAATCCACTTTACCTTATAATTAGCAGAGGATTTGTAAGCTGACTACAAAATGCATGCTGTAAAGGTGCTTATCTCATAAATTGTATGTTAGCCAATCCCATGTGACAGCCTATTACCCATTTTTTGTTCCATAGTTCACTGCATAAAATATCTTCAATTTACACTATCAGAAATTAATTCACTGATGTTCTTACTCTGATAATTAGCTCCAGGGAATTTTTTTTTTCAGTTTTATACATAAAATAAGTATAACTTGTGTAATTTTTGATTTCCTTTCACAATGCCAATTATACCCAAAAAGGAATGTATCATTTGCCATAGGAAAGCTAAAGAGTCCTATGGCAGGAGATCTGGTGAGGCATTAATATCTTGCCTTTCACATCAGAGAGGGCTAGCTGTTTCTAACTTTCCCTGCCTCTACTTTCACATAAATCAATGCATTAAAAAGAACTATTTGCTTATCTGAACTGGCAAAGACTTAAAATCCTCATGAGGAAAATCACAAAAACACAACTTCATTTATTTATTACATGGCTTCCGTGGATGAATTCTGAATTATTTGAACATCATGAAAAAGCAAAATTTATCATTGTTACTCAATTATTAAGCATAAAATACTACACTAGGACAGTCTGTATAAATTTGAAGATATAATTTTTTGGATTACATTATATACATCTTTGTTACTGTACTTAAAAATGTTTCATCTTGATCAAAAAATCATAATACAAGCAAAATTTTTCAGGAACTTAAGTTAAAGAAACCTTAAAAACATGATAATAGATATTATTTGTTGAGCACTTATGTGTCAGGCATTGTGGTTATCACTTTACAAAGATTATCACATTTAATCATTTTTTATAAAGTATAGTTCTAATATAACACCCAATTCATTTATACAACCCAGTATATTTCCAATTAAAAGACTCAGTGATTTTGAATACTATAGAGTAAACTTTCTCAACCCTAGTTCTGTGAGAGAGATAAGCCCCACAAAAAAAAATTTCTCAATTTTTCCAAGGATAGCTAGGTACTAGTCTAGATGGATACGATTTTATTTATTACATCAAATAGATGCCTTAGGACATTAACGTTAAGGCTTAATTCTTGTTAAGAGTGGCTGCTATAAATTTTTTAAAAAACCATGATAATTAAAACACTTTTATAGTGAAGCTTTAGTTCCACAGTTCATTTCTGTTCAATAAATATTTGTTGTAACATACAGGTATCTTTCCAATAAACAGCTTTTGAAATACGTCTGACCCTCTAAAATTGTTCAATATTGTATACAAAAGAAAACCAGATCTATGTTCTTCTAAGTCGTGGTCTTCTTTTTAGGGTGGTGGGGGAGGGGGCAC